AACTGTTGTAACTGTGAAAATGAAGTAAGTTGACCCCATTTCAATGAAGTCCTGATTCTTCTTCTAGTCTCTACCGAAAGTTTACTTCTTGGACCTAACCATCAACAAGTCACTATTAGTCTACATGGAAGTTAAAATGATTTCAACAAATAGAATCATGAGGCTTTGTGTTTTCTAATAATGTGTAGTTTGTCATGAGTTTGGACTAGATGCTATCGCAAGTTATAAACTGACAAACAGGGTCCAGGACAAGTAAGAAGTATAAGAGACACCTGTGCTGGCTACATTAAGTTGTAGTTCTGTGGCTTTCAAACTGGGGTCTGGGAACCAATAAGGATCCTTGAGTGGGTTGTTTTGTGGGGTTCCAGCAAAAGGAGGGATATCATATTTTTACTTTTATCTCATCTTTTGGAAGTTGGGACTACAACGCTTGTTTGATTATAGGTTGACTATGAAGACTTTGTTTCTTTAAATCTAAAAATTTAAAAAAAATGGGGAAATGGGGGTCAGTATACATTTATTGTGGGTGTCCTTGGCATGGAAAAGTTTGGGAACCCCTAGTTAAGATGATGAGTTACAAGCTAAACCTCATGCAATATTGAAACGGTATAGCCTGTGCCTGTACTACTACACTGTAATAATGTGTTTTTCCTTGCCCTCGTAATGATTTATGATCAGAACAGATTAATCATTAAGATGCTCTTCATCAACAGCCCATCATTTTTAAAAAGTGTTCCTGTATGTGACATCATTTCAGAAGTTATTTAAGCATGTAGAGGTAACCCTTCCTCATAGCAATTCATATGGCTGACTCATACGCACAATCCATCAAATATTCATTAAGCTATATGAAAAATAGGTTGTCAGAACTCAGCTGAGGATATCATTTAGGTCTTTGAGTCCTTTATGAAAAACAGAGCTTCTGCCAATTTCCCCTATACTCTCACTGAATCCCACTGAGGCTTTGTCTGTGGTAGCATTAGAGTCGTACTCTGCTAAACATAGGCAGCTGAAGACTTCACAGGACTCGGGTTGGTTCCGTGCAGTGACCTCCAACCAGCTCCTGATGGAAATCTAACCAAGCATCACGCCCAATTTGAGACTCCAAAGTAAACAAACAGGAGTGCTCTTCAAAGGTACCGCCACTAACAGATGGAAGAGGGGAGTCTATCTGTGGCTCCATTCTCACAGTAAACTATAAAAGCCCAGCACTGGCTTAGAACAGACACCAACAACCTGACACATGAACATGTTTATTTGGAAGAAGAAAACATACTTCATATAATGTATTTTTTTTTATCAGACATTTTGACATGTTTGGTTATGGGACTGTTCTTGCTTTGTCTGACAAAGCACTTTGTAAAAGGTGCTATATTAATAAAATACTTAACAAGAATTAGTATTAGTAGTAGTAAAAATGAAACATCAACAATGATTAGGCAGCGACAAATAAGTTATATGACTTATACTGATTACTGTATATTTTACTATTTTCTTATTGTCAATAAATTATACAAAAATACTGAACCAAGTATTGTCTGTGCCATGGACTTCCATTGTTGTTGTTGTACTGGTAAATACGTTCCTTCATTATGATGAACATGGGCACTGTTGCTTATTTTAAGTTTTTCCCACGTACAAAGTCCTACTGCAAGGTTAAACATGTTGGTTGTTGTTTGGAAAGGTTTGCAGAAAAGTGCTGCGTTAAATGTGTTTTATATACCTGTGGGAAAATTTAAATAAACTGAATTATATGATATAATAAACAAGAACACATTTTACCCCACAGATGATACACGAGAAGTCTTTGGCTAATCAGTAACAAGATACATATTTTTTCCCATTAAAATGAGATTGATGTTGCATTTGTAGCCACGAGATGTGAAATATTATCCCTTATTATGCAGTAGCACCCTAATACAACCAACAGCTGCAATTTATAACCCCAATGCTAAGGTCCATCATTCTTCCAACTTAGGTCAATAGCTGTCTGAGATACTATATATGACCTGGGAGTAAGCAAATGTGTGTTGGTGGAAAATTTGAAAAGTCTCCATTTCTATTCTTGAAGCATGTTTCAAAACAGATCAACAGTTTCTTGCAAAACAGGTTTAGTTAGAGTTACTGTTGCTTGATCGTGGTTTGACAGCTAGTTCATGAATTGAGTTTATCAGCTGTCTGAATTATCTGGTTTCACTCCATCTCACTATGGCAGTCCCAAATTACTGCTTTCTTGTCCTAAATGCTGCTTATAATTTGGCTCAGTTAACCTTGGATTTTCCAATTAAGCCTATCAGAGTGTGCAGATGGAAAAGGTGTGATTAAAAAAAACCCAATCCCTTACAACATCAAATAAGGGAAAGACTGTTAGATAAACAGAAACAGGTGAACCTAAAAGGAAATTATAGTTAGTCAATTCAGAAGGAAAACAAAGCAATTTTCACTAAGGTGAAACATATTGTACATGTATAGTAAATCAGCACACAATTGGAATATAAAATGACATGGAAATACTACAAAATGCTACAATCATTAGATCTGGTCTAATCCAAAACCAAAAACCCATCAAGGAATCATAGGCCAAGGGTCTGTCCACCAGATTTTTCCCAAACCTGTTGTTAACTTTCTTTTGATATTATGTCATCAGACAAAAAACAAAAACCTTTGTTCTGTTTTGTTAGCGAAGGTATTTGTGTTTACTTTCAGTACACTTAAATGCTACAGATATATATTTATATTCACTGTCTTCTTTTTGATGAGGTTGGGCTTCAGTCAGTAGTTGCACAATTCTGCTAAACCAGAGACAGGGCCCCCGGATATTGTTCCAGCTTAATTCAATGTTAATTGGCAATACCAGGTTTGAGTATTAATCTTTATGCTTTTAATTCACCCCTCTTTAAACAGGCTAGTGCTCTGTCCTCTGTACCCGCCTGTCCTCTAAATCACTCCCCTCAGTCAAGCACATGAGCTTAATATCCTGCCCTGTCAATAGCCACAGAGAGGAGGGAGACTTTATGTTCCTTAGGTCTCATGACAGACACTCTGAAATGCGGGCCTGAGGGCAGGAGCTCAAACTCATTCTGCCAGGGCTGGTCAGAACAGTCTTGAATGGTATTGGCTTTCCTCAGTGCCGGCCTGTTACATTGTAATTGTGAGAGCTATACCTGACTTACCCCAATGATCTCATTTGTCAATTTTACAAGGCTCTAAGCTTTTCTTACTGAATAAATTAAAGTTTTCACTCCAGGCTTCAATACACAGTGTTAAAATGGTTCCTGTTCTGTACAACAGTCACTGCAGTTCAAAGTGTGCAGCTTTGACACTGAAGATAAGGGTTCTTGTTCCATCTCCTACTAACAGTCAGTCATTATTGGTTTTGTATAACCACAATACCAATCTTTTAACCATAACTCAGTAGTTTCAGTTGCTTAAACATGATCATACGTGAACCACGGTGTCAGAAAACATTCATGAATCATGCTGGAAGGCACTGACAAATGACCTGTTTTGTCATTTATGTACAGTATCAGGACTTCCTGCCCTGATTTTGTTGAAGTACTCAGTGATGACTGGGCTGAAAAAAATGAAACATCAACAATGATTTGGCACGGTGTGTAGTCATCAGGCTTTGCTTCTTAAAGCCTATAGAGTTGCACAAGAGAGAATTATAACTCCTCATCACAGTTCCACAGCAGTTATGATAAGTTATGATCTAATGATTTGCTGTTCTACTACTGCTAAAGACTCAGTAGATGAACAACTGTGTTTCTGCTGCCCTTTTGCAGGGAGCAGCTCCCATAGGGGTAAGTAGGCTTTTCATGATTGGTCCACATCCCTGCAAATGTCAATGCACAAAGATGGAAGTCCCCTTGATATCACTGTTCTCTGCCCTTACTACTTAACCAGCGCTAACCCCTCAAACCAGACTGGGTCGACTTTTAATTACTTATTTGACAAGATAGACTCTAATAAAAAAAACAAACACATTATTTTTACCGCTGACATCTCCTAGTCTAACACGATCAATACTACCATCGCTCTATATGAACATATAAATAACACATTGTTTTAATGAAAATGAAGGCAGTTTGGTGGGTAATCTGTTTAAGGTATTGATTTTTGTCAAGACTCATCCAGAGTGATAAGGTCACTGTCTCTGTGTTTGTTTGTTTGTGTTTTTACTCTTGATAATTCTACCCATTTATTTAGTATGGAAAATGATTAGATGCAAGAAGTTTGGGTTTTGGCAAATAAACAAGGAAACAACAAATACAACCCTGTATGTGTTTATATCATAACTTGTCATCAGATGTTTTAAGTAATGTACAATGATAAAGTAACTTAAATGGTACTTAAAGTGTTTACATACTTTTTTTGTCTTATAGAATTCATGTTTGACAGACAGAATTAAGTTGAAGTACTGAGTGTCTGAAATGTTATTAAAGTAATTACTAGGGTGATACATAGACATGAATTCACAAATTTATGAATGTCCTTTTGCAATCCAGAAATACCAATGCAAATAGATGAATAAATCAGAAGTCTTGTCATTCTCTATGTAGCTGGAGTGATTAGCATGTATGCAAATCAATTATTTGTTTTATGTATAAGCTATTTGTAAACTCGGCACATTCAAATTTAATTTCTACTTGATGTTGCACATCCTCTTACATCCTCTATCTCCCTATCTCTTTCTGACACTGTGTGTGCCTGTGTTTGTGTGTCTCGATGAAGGTGCTGGCAGGTTCCTTTTGTGTTTGTAATTATTGGCTGTCAACACATTTGGAGAAGGGACTGTTCTTTGTACTCTTAGTTGGACCCGTGTCATAGAAACATGATGGAGCACAGCACCCTGAGGGTTTTGCATTGAGTATTGTTAATCCTCAAAGATGATGTGAACATATTGACGTGTGTGTGTAAACAGAAGCAGTCAAATTTCTGTGTGTGTGTGAGTGTTTAATATATCTCTGAGCTGACATGTGTCCTCTGTGCTATGACAGATGCTATGTTACTGGTGGCAGCCAGACTGGAGGGACCCTTCAACATTGAAGCAGTTATAGAGCCAGTTGACATCAAGATCTCTGAGGCCATCATGACCATGCAGGACAACAGCATGCAAGTGTCGGCTAAGGTATTGTAACATTGTGTAATTAATTAATGTATTTATTTATACATGTCATTGTTTTTTTAGTTTGTATTCTATTATTTAGTGAAAAAAATGTGGATTAAATTATTAATCTTTATTTAATCAGACAGTCTCATTGAAATTAAGATCTCTTTTCCAAGAGAGACCTGAGAACATAAGCATACCCAATCACACAATAGACAAGTAAAAACCAGAGCAAGAAAGGAAAATTATAATGGCAAAGTGAAAAGAAAAAGAAGGGAGAGGAAGACAGATAATGTAACACAGTAAACAATAAGCACAATAAGTAGGTTATACAACTTAATTATTTCTAATTATTGCAACATCTCCATATCTACATTTCTATTTGAATTCTCATGATGTGGATGAAAATACTGTCATTTTAAATTGTAAACAGTAGAACACAGCAACAAGACAAGCAGCAGTACACAGTCCTCACTTCTTAAAACGCACATTTATATACTACTAATTTACAAAAGCAAAGGTTTTGAAAGAAAAGTGGTACCATACATCAGAGTAAGCTTAAAACGTTCACTGTATCCACTCATGGTAACACTGTCTTGAAGCCATTTATCCATAACCTTAATCTAAACCTTAAAGTGCTTAGGGGTCTAGACCCAACTACACCTGGGATGCAAGACAGGAACTCAGGTCTTCAGGTTTCCTCCAAAATGTAATTGGCAAACCATTTTGTTGCATATAAAAGACTGAACTAATTTCCTCTTTAGCCTCTTTAGTGTTCCAGTTGCTAATCAGTCTTTTCAATTGTTTAAAATTGGAAGCAGCACATTCAGGATATTATCACACACAGGATCGTTTTTCACTGTCTTTCTTGTCAAAAGGCAGGTTTATCAGTAACATTTTTTATTCTGATCCTTTGATGAATTCTGGCCTGTCTCTATGCCAGAGTCACAAAGGTCAGTGTGAATTAGATGTAATTCTTTTCCATATCAAGAGGGTTGCAATTTACAACTTTAGCCATTGTCTGTGCACTTGACACTCCATCCCTGCAAGGCTGTGCTTGGTGGACAGATTGCTCTGAGATTACAATCTTTCCCCACATTCACATTTTAACCATATGTAATCCTTCTCCAATCACCAAGCTTTGTGGAATATGTCAGGCCACATTGAGTTGTACCTTCATTCCTGCTGCCATAGACCTGTTGAAAATCGGTTTGCTTGGGTGATGTACAGGATAGTGGAATTGTAATCATGATGAAGAATTGATAAATATTAGAGAAAAGACAGCCTTTTGTCTTGACAGCCATGTAGCACATTAGAGTGCTCCATCACATACTGAGCCAGGGGCCAGCAGACAGGCCAGAGAGGAATGCTAATGAGCTGTGATGTTTGGAAGTGTGCTGTTTGGGCCCTGTAGAGACAAAGCCATCTGAAAACAATCTATTCTGACAATGAACTTCTATGAACTACACATTGATTAATGTTAGGTTGAAGTAATAATACATCTGCACTTCTATTTTTGTTTCACTTGAAACAACAGAACTTTAGTTTGTGTTTCAGGGAAGTTTAATAACTTCTGAGTTTTACAATTCAGTATTTTTCCAAGAGCACAGTGTTCTTTGATATAAAGTTATTTTCTGGTAGCAGACTCATACTAATATATATATATATATATATATATATATATATATATATATATATATATATATATATATTTCATAAAATATAGAGATTCTACATTTTCCTCTAGTTACAATTTAGAATGATATAGGTCTATTTTCTACATTAAAGGGTAACCTCTGTATTTTTCAACCTTTTTCCCCATGTTTTTGTGTTAAATAAGGTAATAGGGACAAGTTGAATTTGGTCCAGTATTGAGTGAGAGTGATGCAGCCTGCAACTGCAAAATGGGCTATGACGTAATCCTTATGGGTAATTGCGCATTGTCAAAATACGTCCATTAAAAGTGCTTATTTTTAGCACTGACTGGCTCATATTGTTATTATCAGTGTTTGACAACATTATGGAAAGGAAAGAAAAATGTCATGTTTTTGGTACCTTTTCCTTTATCTGTCTGTGAAATCTCCTCTGTGGGGATAGGGTCACAGCACCCACAGGAACACCACCAATCTTTCAACCTTCACAGCCTGCAGCAGCTGGTTTACCCTCCTCTGCCTGTTGCCCCCCTCTCTCTCTCCTTGTCCTCTCTTCAATTTCTTATACTGTGGCTCAAAAAAATGCAGGGGGCTATCAAATTCAAAAGCCTTGTCCAAATCAGCTAAATATTCAGGCATGACATTGAAAATCTTTTACATCATACTAAGTTATGCTTTTTTACTCCAACAAAACAAACTCTTTCTTGCCTTACTACGCTAACATTTCCACTGTGGTCTTCCTGCAACAAGTCACCTCACCTCTCCCAAGGTACAGGAAACATTTATTTTTTCTCTGTAGGGTCGTGTTGTCAGATAACATATAACTTATAATAACAATCTGAGCTGGTCAGTGGCAAAACCAAAGACTTTTTTTAAGTATTTTGACAGTCCGCAATTGCCTGCAAGGATTAGGTTACAGTCAGTTTTTGATGCTGCATTCTCACTCAATACTGGACAAAGTAAAAAACTTGTTGTCCCCATTAGCCACTTTGACACAAAAACATGGGAAAATTATGGTGAAAAATACTGAAGTTACCCTTTGATGTTTAACAAATTCTAATTCACAATCAGTTTTATAACTAATTAAAAGCTAAGTTATATTGTATTTTTGTGATGAATTGGTTACAGTCTTTGCAAAAAGCCTTTTGACGTAACAATGGCTTTCAGCTGCATGCGCATAACACCATATCATGGGTTAATTCATTTTTTTGCCACCAATATGACACTTCCTGTAAAAGGAGACCCGGGCACTGATAGAAAGCATTGGTACCAGGCTGGCTCTATATGGTTTTCTATCTCAAATCACAGACCAGAAATTGTGCTGTGAGCAAATTGACACAGGCTTTTCAAGGGAAATGTCAGTGGTGTAGGCAAACTACAACTTTTGTGGGATCAAAATGGATGTGTATTCTACAAAGGGAATAGGCTTACATGTAGCCCCCGCTCAGTGCAGATTTCATGCAGTTTCGGACTGCTGATAACCTGGTTTCTAACTGTTCAGCACTGCGATGAGAAGCTCATCTCATAATAATGACAGAATATTATCTGGATGTTGTAAAACCAGGCAATTTCCTCAATATACTGTAAGTATTAAAAATGTTTTAGACACTGGCTTGTCTGTATCATTTTTCAGCTTTCCCTTGTGCTTACCCCCCTCTTTGTGGTAATTGTATCTCCCTTTGTTGATTTTAGGTTTTTCAAGGGTGTGGCCAACCAAAGCCATCGGGAATAGGCAGGTCTGCACGAGGCATCTCAGATGTGTTCAGCACTCGTTTCAGACCCTACACCCCTGAAGAGAGGCCAACCACAGCAGCAGGAACAAGCCTGGATAGACTGGTACGTGCAGCAACAACATAACAGAAGCAATATTGTAAACTGTGATTGGGAAATGTACAAATAAATGAGGGAAGGGTAAAATCAAAAAGGAAAAAGTAACTTGAATCAAACTTCAGTAGTGAAATAAATGTGAAAACATTATCAGAATTAAAACTGGGATATAAGATACCGTAGACATTTAGAGATGCCCTAAAGGTTCTTCTGTAAAGTACAAACTAATCTTAGGTCAAATCATTTATGAGAAATCCAATACATTCCTAAAATAAATCTCTTATTGGGCTTTCACTTTGAAGCCTAATTAAGGCTGAAGCAGCCAATTCCTGATGTTTTTTTTCTAGTCTATATTCTACCAGCTATGATGTTGAACACTTCCTTTCTCACTCTGTATTTTAACAGCTCAACTAATATTCAGAAATGTACAGAAGTGTGCTGAAATTGTTTTTTAAATATTATTGGTGGAGGCAGACTTGTTGGAGGCAGACTGAACTTAAGGCCAGGGCTCAAGTCCAAAGGCCAGGAATAAAAAGAGCCCCTCAAAGATTCCAAGAAAAATCATTGTAATCCATGTTCATGTAATACAACCCCAGGTTCTTACTGTTTTTACACCACGCTGTACTCAGAGTTAAAATATTTCAGTTTCAGTCCCAGAGGTTGCATAGATCACGTCATGTTTTTTTTTTTCCACATAACCTACTTGGACATATTGTTTACAATATTCCTCACAGTGTGTATGAACAGATTATGAAATGTCCCTAATCACAAAAAAATGCCTCATCCCAGAATTTGTACTGCTCTGAGAATCAGTGCTGGAGAGGATAAAACCGATTCAACATCCACCCACTAAACTTCAGGATGATGACAAATCCTAAGACATTAATTGAGCCTATAAAAAGACCCATTGCACCACCTCATGCCACTGAAACACAATGTGTGGGAGGCTGTCTGTGTCAAGTTCCAGTATATACCGTAGCAACACAGAGGCCCTTAACTTGACAAGATGTTAAATCAGGTGCTACAACTCTGATCTGTGAAGTCTACAGCTCTGCATCATTTCCTTTTTTGCTTGAAAATGTATGCTGTTGTGATTTCTCTAGGTCCTCATTAAGGCCTACTGTACATCACATTTAAATATGACGTTGTAATGTAATTGTAAAAGAAATGTGTTATTCCATAAACTTGTTATTTTCTCCACATCAAGCTGTATTTTTGTCATACACGTGAATGTTAAATGGAGGACTGTTAATTAAAACAAACATCTGTGGTATAAGCAGAGATAATGAGTTACCTTCTAATAATAACACACCATAGTGTCTTGAAAAAATATATTCAAAATTAGAAAAATCTTTCTTTCTTTGTATCACATATGTTATTCTACTGAATGACATTTTAGTGGTATAACAACCACAACATGTCAGGCCATCGATTGGATATTATTAAACCACATTTGGTTTGTCCTTCGACCATTCCATCTAACAAATGCTTCTGTAATCCTCTGTCCAGTTGGCTAATGAGTGTATTAAATACATTATTGTTATTTAAATAAAAGGCACAGTTGATAATCTTCTGCTGTTTAAGTTGTTTAACAGGATTAAAATGGAACATATTCAAGAACAGAGAAGCAGATTAAAGAATGCAGAGCGTATTGTGTCTGTCTTCATAAATAGTCAATATTCAGTGGTTGTGTGAAACATGGCCAGATCCTTAAAATGTTATTCTGGATAAAATCTAACTAAACCCTTGTCTTTGCTTCATAACATACACATCAAAAAGGGCAAGAAAGGGAAAACATTACTAAAAGGCAAACACACATTCAGAGAAAATCTACAGGTTTCACGTTTCACTAATAATTCATATGCACATGCTCTTGGGGCCAACTTCTTATGAAAGAAAAAATCTTCTAAGAAAAGTGAGTTGTATTTCTCAGGGTAAGACTTCTTGCTCACTTGATCACATATCTGTGTCTTACTCTGTATCTGCATTTCCTTGTGAAAATGTATGAAGCAGGTTAGATACAGTACAGAAATATATGTGCTGGACATTAAAGCCAAGCTGAGTTGATTGCATTGAATGAAATAATGACTTTTATTCAACCAATTCACTGCTGTTTGTACGCAGGTCACGAACTTTGCATTGATCAGATTTGATGGCAGCAGATTTTAAACTGATTTCACAGTGGGAAATTCATTGTGAATAAAATGGTTTGAGGTACTAAATCTCATAGTGAGATGAGACTGGTGGATGGAATATTACAGCACCACCATTTATCATTTAACTTTTTGCTTCACTAACTAATAGCCTTTCTTTTCTCTCTATTCTATTTCTCAGTCTCTCTATTTCTCCGATGTCCAATTAAATATCTTTCTTCTTCATTTCTCTGCTGCTCCCAGAGGGTTGTGTGGAGGACAATGCAACACAGTGTAAGCTTTTCATTCCTCCTCTTACTTTTACCAAGTCATCTGTCTTGTGGTGTTTTAATCAACCTGCCCATAGAGCTCCACTTCTCTACATTATTCAAAATTCATATTGATTGCTTGTTTGTGACATGACTGTTTATTTACTAACTGAACTAAGCTGCTGAGGTCGATTTTTAAAACTGTCTTTCTCCATTACTTGGTTTGTCTAGAATCATTTAGACTGGAAGCATGGTGGTTCAGTGGTTATTAGAAGGTTGTGAGTTTGAATATCTGCCATTGTTCCTCTTGTTTGAATTTAGTGTTTTCTCTTTGGGTTTCCTTTTGATTTTTTACACCATTCAAAGACATGCAGCTTAGGTTGCTTGGAGACTTTAAATAATTTGCCCATGGCTGTGATCAGCATATGTTAGTGTTAACCCTGTGATGACCTTGCAAAGAATCCAGGCTGTTTCTTTGCCTTATTTTTCTTGTACATGCTGGGATAAGCTCATGCACCAGCTGTGGCCTTGGGTAGAGAAAAAAACAGAAAGCTCTTTTCATTTCTCTATTTTGTGCTACCTTGTCTCCTCCATCCTCCTACCTGTGACCCGGAAATCAATCTATGCACGAAGGATGTCTCAATTCCTAAAATACATCTTGAGGAAAGAGGAGTGAAGAGAGAGGAGGCTTGGTTGAGTAGCTATGAGCGAGGATGCACAGGTGTATCCTTAGCGGAAGTCTTTTCGGCACCCGTAACATGTAAAAGAGGCATGACAATGGACAGATGATGCAGCTGTGCCACACGTCATATTAAATTAATGCCGCTTTAAACTGACGGCTCAGAAGCAAGGATGTCTTATTTTGTTAAATGTCTGTTGCCTCGACTCCTCTCCGTCTTTGCCTTGCTTCCCCTGCTCGCATCTCAGGTGGGAGGGACTGAGATGCGAGGAAAGGAATCGAGGATGTACAAACTGAGAAATGAGAATAGGTTTGTGGTTGATGTTGCGCATCAATGTTTTGGATTCCGTCTATGAATGTAGACGGCATAAAGCAAATTCTTTGAACCTATCAATTTATTATCATTTAAAAGGAGAATATAAAGGATTTTGTTGACCAGGGTTTCTGACTCACATCTTCAATATGTCTGGAAATGCTGGTCTATTGCAGTACTTAGTTGATGTACCAAATATCAGCAATGAGTTACATCACCTTTTGGCAAATGTGCAATCTTAATTGTTTAAGACTATAATGACACAAATTGCAGTAACTGGTTTACATCTTACAACAAGATGCTTGTCATTGCCTGTAACTTATATTCAAGGGCAACATTTTATGTGTTACATGCACAACTACACATGTACAACTTGTGCTTGGTACAGCAATATGCTCCTACTATGGCTAAAATATTTATTTACTTCTTCAAACCTTGGACACAGAAGGTGAGATTTACGTACATGAATTCTGTGTCCTCTGTTCAGTTTACACTCACAATGGTCTGCATGTAATTATAGTCTGATTCGGAAAAGCAGCTCCTAAGTACATAATCACTGATTAGAACCAGCTTCCGTGCAGTGAAGAAAAGGTCAAAAGGTGCAGTTCAGCGGTGGGATTTGCCTGAGATCAGCTAGTTTGATTAATAACATTGAATGGCTTCAGGCACAGAAACAAGGAGCAAAATGTTTAGTAAATATGCCTGTGATTACCACTGAGGTTTATGGATGATTGTAAAGCTCTCAGTCCTCATTATTCCGTACATATTTATTTTGTACAGTTTTGTTTTCGGGTGATTTGTGCTAATGTATCTCTAACATCGCAGTCTGTCAATTACGTCTCAGATCAAAACTGAATTAGATACAAGTGCTTACATGCTGTCTAACCCTCTTCCTTTTCCAACTGACTGCTAAATGATTTAAAGCTGAAAGAGGTCTGTCTTGTTGGGTTTGTATTATTATAGCTGCCCTCTGTAAGACTTCTTTACTTCATGTGGGCAGAATTTAATGTTAATAAATAGTAGCACTGGTTTGAAAACTCGTAGGTTGTGATGTTTCATTTTTAATGTCAGCTATAAACCCACTGCTAAAAATCCAAACCTTTACTAAACAGGAAAAAAAGGTTACTGAACTGACTGTGCTTACATTTTATATGCTAGTGGCACATGGCTTTAGGAATTGTATTGGCCGTTACTCAACAGCTATTGGATGGATTCCAATGAAACTTTGTACAGGCATTCTCGGTCCCAGAGGACGAAGCCACCTGACTTTGGTGATCCACTGACTTTTCTTCTAGCACCACCATGATGACCAATTCAAAAACAGCTATACATTATGATGTTTTCTGGACCTTTGCTTGAGGAAATGTTCTCTAACTCTGGACCTATTTGAATTTTAATTGAATATCCCTGCCTGGCCTAGTGGCAGAGAGAGTGCAGGGTCTGAGGAGTTGTTTAGTTGAATATGTTAGTGTAGTCTGCTTGACTCATTGATCTTTTATCTGACTGAGGTTTGTGCAAGTTAGATTGTATTGCCCCCCTACCATGGCTCTGAAATATCAGCAACCTAACTGTGCTGTGTGTTACTATTTCCATGGTGCTGTCCATGGTGCTGAAGTAGCAGACATATTTGTCTAGCTGTCAGTCCTGCCCCTCTGTTTTAAGTTCTTCTTGCAGGTTACTTTAAAGAACATGTCTTCTCATCACTAGGATGCGCCAATTGGGCCATCACCCCTGTTAAAAATGTACAAACCCCCTGCTGAATATACCTAAAGCTTCACAGGGCTGCTAGCGTGGCTGTAGACTTGTAGCCTTGTTCTACTAAACATCACTGTTAATTTGACTGATGAATATAATCTAAACACTTCTGTACTTTCAAAATAAGATCCTCTGCCCAACAGGTATAATTTCATAGTGATAGGAAGTAACCTAACTTCTCCCTCTGCTTATCACAGTCTTTGTTGACTGTGAGATAAATGAATAGTATACACATGCATATCTTCCACCGTGTGTTCCACATTCACATTTATATTCCTTATTTATTATGTCAGTGATAAGCAGGTGTCTGATGACACAATCTGACAGAAATGATTTTGTTCTCTGACAGCTTAAACTCACATTGCTGACATGACATGACTGTCAATTTCTTCATTATAGAAATGCTCGCAGAAAAAATGTGATGGATGTCCTGAGGAGATTCCATTATTGATTTATTTGACCAATTTCTAAATATTTTGAGCCTCCCTAATGGGTTGTTTGTTGTTGAGCACTGTTGAAATGGGGATGCAGTTGGAAAGAAAGTAAATCAGTCATTAGCAATGGCCAGGCCGTTCTCTACGCTCCATTTGACTTTTCAGCAGAGTGCCAGGGCCAGGAAACGATCTGGCAACGACCATTTTTCTCAGGAAGGAAAAAGTGTAAAATAAATGATCAGTGTTTTATTTCTTCAATAAATCACAATAATCCAGTGTTGATGGGCACCACATATCTATACTTTAGTGTGCTTTTGTTATTGTACGCACACTATACTGAGAGGACTAAAGGGTTTTATGGAGATTTAGGGGAACACGCTGTGAATCTGAATTCATGGAAGCTGAACATCCTTCAGCTTCTGAATGGGGATAGAAATCACTATTCCCACATGAAAGTTTCTTCCTGCCAGAGTAATCAGTCACTGAGAAATCACTCCGCCCAATGCAATTGCCGACACAACTGCCAATTATGGCCGATGGTAACACGGCCAAATTGGTGAAATCCATGAGTCACGCCATAAAATGGATCCAGTTACAGCTCTAATGAAATTCTGGCATGTACTGCAGATCTGCTCTCTACGGTTTTTCTGTTTAATAGCCATGATTTCTGAGCAGATCAGCAGGCAAAAAAGAACAAATGTTAAGACCAGTTAATCGTACTGGAATGCTAATTCAGAATACTGGGCATGCTGAGCTAATGTTTTAGCAGCACTAACAACCACAGGGTGTGAGTGCTGCTGGAGATCCCAAACTCTATTTTACATTATGCTGACAAAGATCTGGGGAAATAAAAGGTGTGTACTTTATGGAGTCAGAACTTCATTTTTAAATACAGTGTAAGTGAACTTGGTACTTATGAAACATGTGATTAAAAAAGGTTATGTTTTGTGCTAAACCTTTTTCTCAATGCCTTTTACTAGATGTTCTTTTTTTGCTCTACATATATACCGTTTCTGTCCACCTTTAGTAACTGTTCAAGATCAAGATCTTCACAACTGTTTTAGATAGGGATGTGAACTAATAGGCTTTGGCCTGAGAGAACTGAGAGCTAGAGATTGATGTTGTGCTTCACTGCTATAGTATTGTGTGTATAAGAAGTGCAACTACACAGTCACAAACTGGACATACATTTCTTTCTGTTAGGTGGTTTTGGTGGCCATAGAAGGTAGGAAACATGTTGTTAAGGCTTTGTTCATTCAATGTTCCAATAAATGAATGCCTGTTCAGTGTAAATTCAATTAAAAATTGAGCTGGAGAACCTATAATCATTTTAGCATTTTGCTGGGCTATTTTAAATCTTCATTTGGTATCTATTAATGGCGAGTTTAAAATAATGGAATGGTGTGAAATGGGTTGTCTCAGTATTCACCTCCATGGCTTAATAGAGGGTGATGAATCCGTCTGTCCAGAGGTAATTCTGTCTGTCAAAAGAGATGGAAATCTGACAGAGACTGATGTGTAATCAGCCGTGCTCACTCAACAGAGACCTGTCTCTGAAAATGAATTAGGATTAATGTACGTGGACAGACACAACAGATCAATGTGGCCACCTTCTAACACCTTCATTTTTAAAGGCAGCTTCATCACTTTACTTATTATTACATCCATGCTTCCCCCCCACCTGCTTTACTTCCTCACATTTTTCTTGGAGTAGTTTTTGTATCTTTTACATGTTTGTACAATTCACATTAAATAGAGTGTTTGCCAGTACTTTCATGCTTCACTAAGTTTGCAGTGCACACACTAACTGATGCATTACAGACGATGCATTAAGCAGTAAAATA